TTACTGTTTCTCTCTCTCTTCCTCCCTCCCCCTCCATCGTTTCAAAGGCAAAGCCACCTTTAGAAACACGTCATGAACCAAAAGCACTAAGAAGTAATACAAAATGTAACAGTCTCAACTCGACTACCCTAGCAACTCAGTCCTAAACAGAGTTTGCAAAGTTAACAATTTGTCCAGACTGAGGCCTTCAAACGCCACAGAAAGCAAGCGACATCATGCGAGGTTAATGGTAAGGTGAAAGCCCGTCAGTTTCGGCTTCCGAGGGGTGCTCTGAGGAAGGTGTGCTCACCGTTACTTCAGGGAAGCCTCATAATCAACATGCAAACTGTACGCTTGTCACAACAGAAGCATAGCTCTCAAGGCGAGTGATTAGAAACAATTGATTTCAACACAAGTATGAGAACATGTCTGAAGTATAAGGAAACAACGTATCTTTTAAGCTTATTATAACAGCTAAACATAGCTCCTAACAATAATTACTTTAGCCATAAGGAAATAATAGTATTTTAATTTAGTGAAAAGTGTGTTTACATACAGATCTTGAGTTAATCTGTACTCCAGGACTTTAAAAGGTAGGTAGTCTGAAATTTTCAGCCCTGGCTGGAAGCCAAGGGTCACCAGCACCGTTTCCCTAAACTAAATCAACTCTACATATGAAAAGACAGCATTTAACCTCTGTGTGATTCTTCCGCACTTCAGGTAGGATACAGTTGTCTCCTGTGCAGCTCATAAACACTGACGAAAAGGCTGCAGGTGCTACAGCCTGTTTCAGAAAAGACCTTTGTATGCACGGATTCGATACTCTAAGAAAAGGAGTGGTTATGGATTTTTGGATTCAAACTATCATTTTAAGGCTTTTGAAAGGTTGGGAAGTTGAATTTCTTCTTAAAACTATGGAGCCCATGCCACATGAATGGCTATACGAGGCTGGGAAAATAGTCCATCAGATGTTTTTAGGGTTTCCCAGCCTCTGTGAAACAGTGGAAAGGAGGACGCAGCAACCGTTAACAAGAAGAGCATGCAGGGTAGCTTTTCAGTGAGTACCACCTGCCGTGCGCCTCAGTCTGATTTGCCTAAGTGTTGACTTTGGGGCAGGAACTCTGGCTTGGACAATCCATTGCTACTCCTTTTTCCCTCACAATACGTGCTCTCCAAAGTTCCACATTTTATTATTGACAGGAAACATGACCAGAAAAGGTCCCTATAACAGTGAATGATCAAGACCAGAGGCATAATGTAGGCAATAACACAGTTCAAGCCATAGACAAGAGTTCAATGGTTTTAGTCTTGACATGTCAGAGGAGCACCCTGTTTTCCAATCACAGAAAGATCAGCCACCAGACAGCCAGCGCAAGGACCAGGAGAAAAGACATCATGAAAGGAACACGAGGAGACGGGAAAGCACTAGAGTAGAGGCGGCACTTTCTGAGATCCTTGTGTTCCTCGGGGATTGGAATAGAAACCTTGGGAGGACTCTCTTCATTCTCTTGCTGGGGCAAGGTTCTTTCAGTGGATCTCTCTGGCCTTTTAGTTCTATCTTCACCCTGTACTAACAGAGCACACTCCTGTGTCTGCTTTCACGGTAGAAGATCAAGAAAGACAGAGAAAGATGAACAAAATGACAGATGGAAAAACGCTTAAAAGTGACACTCGGGGATGTGCAAAGGTGTGGAAAGATCTCTGGATGTGCTCTCGAATTTAGCTTCTCTTTACATTGGCAATTTACCTAGCAATTTCTATAACCCAGAAGGTTTGACTATGCAATTAAATTAAAATTTAATGTTTTGGATAAATTGGCATGGGAGCCTTAGGGGCTCAAAACGGTCACTGACTTCCCTGCATTTGCTATCACTTATTCCCTCATTTCAGGTTACTCATACATTTCTTTTTGCTTTGTTTTTTCCACTAATGGATTCCAGGTTTTAGTGCTGCAGATAATTGCTGGATCAGGCAACGTCAAGAACGAAGTATTCTTGCCAAGAGTAAAGTTACTTTTACCAACAAATAGAATGGTAGAATATAAAGAGCAATTTTCATATCTCTTCAAAAAGGCTTGAAATGCTCATTGCTCAGTATGAGAATTAGATTTTGCTCAGGGAAACAGAAGTAGTAAAGACCGCAAAGTAAGAACAAAACGTATAAAAATTTGTAATATGCCTCCAGGTATAATAGGTCTACCCTGGGGTGGGGACGGGGGCAAAGAAGAGCAAGAAAAGAAAGGAAAATACATCCCCACAAGAGCTCAACTATTGCACAGCCTCAAAATCCTGACTAAAATAGTAATGATCATCATGAAGGATTACACTCTTAGTCAATACTTCTGACAACTTTCAAGGAAAGATCCACCCCCAATTGGCCAGCTGAGACTTTTCTCCCCCGGCATCTCTGTGTTCTGCTATCTGCAGTCAAGGCAGATGGTATCTACGAAAGGAAGAACTTGGCTCTGAGCTCTCTTAGTTGAGCCAGCCTTCTCTGGTCAGTTTGGAAGTTGAACCCTGGTTCTTTGCACACCCCTAAGTGATATGTACCAGGGAGAAAGCAGCTAGGGGACTGATCAGCAAAAAGAATAAAAGAAAAAGGACGGATGCAAAACCATAATGATTTTTAAATGAAAATACGGTGGGAGAAGAAAGACAACATAAAAAGAATAGGGTATAATTAAATTCATTTTCTCTCTGAGTACATAGTAACATCTTCATGCAGCTTTTTCAACCAGCCATGCGCCGAAACAAGCAAACTGGAAACTGCAGATGCTGCAGCAGTGGAAGTGTGATGTGTTAGGCCAAAGGCTGAGGGTGTGGATTTACTAGTGTAGCAAAAGAAAAACACTGTTCAGCCACTGCTGCTGAGTTCTGGGTTCTCTGCTTAGAGCCATGGCCGGGGCAGGTTCTAGTGAGCAGCGCAGCCACAGCAGCAGCTTTACCTCGGGCCCACCAACCTTTCTTCCCGAGGGGAGGGCAGACGTTCTCTTCACCTGGTCACACACAAATCATATGAGGTTCAGTTGCCGTGCAATGCAACAACAGCGCTGCCAAAGGCAGGAGAGGTGTCCCCAGAGAACAGAAACGCTGGCATGACTGGAAAAAGACATGCCCCACCGTAGAGTTGTCCCAGCACAGAAGATTAAGGCAGTAGTCATTTGTCCCATTGTTCACTCAGAGGGAATATACATATGTGTAAAGAGCTAAAATTACCCGAGTACCCCTCAGGGATCAACGTGACTTTATAAGAAGTCATGTCTTTCAAGTTTACAGAATGGCACCGCCATCCCCAAATTGGCCTTCGGGTGATTTCTTAAGGGTCTCTATGTGAAGACATAAACTGTTTTCTGAAAATGGAGACCAATACAAATGTACCCAATGACATCTGAGCCAGCATCAAGATACTTTTTCAAGCTACTTTCCGAGTTCAAAACAGAACTAGAAAAATATGCAGGTGTGTGTGGGGGGGAGAAGGGTGTTGAAAGACAAGATAGCAACAAGCCACTCGCATGCAGACACCAAAGTCAGCAAGGGCATTTAACACCATTCTGTAAGCAGGACCAACAAGACAAACAGCTTGTTGAGAACATTTCATTAAGCTGTGGCTGGCCAGACCCTCTCAGTCAAATCAAACCGCAACTATCCTTGGACCTTTATGATGAGTCTTATTTCTGAGGACACATCAAAAGTCTGAGGACTTATCTGCTTTTCGGAGTGATGGTCTGACCCAGAAGTGGTTATTTTCCCAGCTTAACGTGCATACTATAGACTCAGAACACAAACCTAATGGACACGTATGTCTGGGAACGGGGTCTAAGAGAACAACGCATGGGAGCAGCTGTATCCTGTCACCTCGGTAACTATGCAGCTGCCTGTTCTGAGGTGTCCTCCCACCTCACTAGTGAAACTGTTAGCTAATTTTAATCTAAATTTGGAAAAAAAAAAAAAAGGTTATCTTGGAAGAATTTTTTAGCCCTATCTGCAGCTACAGAAACTAAGTAATAAATGATTTAACTGGATAGTTTACCAAGAAGCCTGAAAATAATTAAACCAATTTGTGCTTTGTTTTGGGAAAGAGTCTCACTATGTTATCCAGGTCTACCTCCAAAATCCTAAACTCAGGCATCCTTCTGCCTCAACCTCACAAGGAGTGGGTCACAGGGGCAGGCCTGCTAAATCTCAGGTTTTTAATGGGCACACTAGTTTGCCTTTCTCATCTAGACCTGCTATTGTTGGGGGGGCGCAAAGTAAGCACATAATTAAAAGATATATAATCAGTCATGAAGTTATGGTCACTGCTTATACAAATGACAAACTGGCTTGAGATAAAGACCTTTCAGATCTCTAAGTTCGACAAGATATCACCTTTAAACAGACTTATTTATTCTGAGGTAGGGATTCCAAAGCAGGAAAAAAATAATAATAATAGAGAACAAACTCTGGAAGGGACCTCTGGCCTCTTCTGATGGTAACTGTCTCATAAAACAGCTGGTTGCAGGTCTGGTGTTACGCAAGACAAATCATCAGTTGTTTTTCCGAAATTGAGTGTTCTACATTCTCTGGCTTCAGGGGCTCCTTGTTTCTTATATAACTGTGAGCAATCATTCCAGACATTTCTAAGTTGTACAAATGTTCAAATAAAGTTTTAAAAATATATCACTCCCTCCCAATTGTGACCTTACTAAGTTTAGCTAACTGGTCCTGGAAGGCACATTTTGAATATAAACAAAGTTTTACTGGCATAAAGTCAATTTATAAACACAAACTAGCCAGAAGCAGGCAGCTTCAAGCAGTTCTCAGAGCCTAGACATCCACTCGTAACTCTTAGAGGACTCCCACAATTGAGCTCGGCTGTGTAAATTATCAGGAGTGTTGTTATTAATGTTTCATAGCAGCAACGAACTGCGAGGGCACCAAAGCCAACTTCAGCTCTACGCTTCCAGATAGAGTGTTAACACACACACACAGCTAACATACTTATCGCCTTCAGGCTCACAGACATGTGGACAAAGGACTCACTCCATCTCCAGTAGGGACTTGCCCGTTGATGTTAAGAGTTCGGAAGGGCGAGTGTGTGGATAAGCGCTTGTCCCACTCGCTAGGCCGCGGTTCGGGTACCGATTCCATGAAGTTCTTCTTCAGCTCACTGATGCTGGCGTGATGCTTTTTGATTTCTTCTTGACTCTTGTCTAAATCCTACAGTTGGGAGAACAAAGACGGAAAACAATAAATAGTTGGGACAAAAACACACACCAAGGGCAACCTATCAAACTGGGCCCTGGTAGAAAACACCACATCCAGGCCAGATGGTACTGGCCCGTACTGCATCAGCACCATAAATACACAATTACTGTTTACCCCTTTTCTTCTTTCGCTCTTTTTAAAAACAAAGTGCTGTGCTTGGCAGCAGCGAAGCATCACAATCCCACAGCTCGTGGAGGTTACACTGTCCACAAAGAGCATGCTCCCTGATTGTGTGACTCCTCTGCCACAAAGGATGCGAAATCAGATCTCCACCTCCTCATCCTGAAAAGGTAACCCCATGATTCAGTTAGCTTCAGCTTGATAAGAACTAACTTAGGCTCAGCTCAGGCAGGATGGAGAGAGCAACAGGGAAACCGATGAATGACGGACATGACAAATGACCTCAGCTTCCACCAGCTGCTGCCCGTGGTGAGCTGCAACAACATTGCAGAGTCCCTCTCTGTCCACTGCAATACTTTGCTTCTCTATTACTAAGACTTTTCTAACTCAAGAATTTATTATTAAAGTTCCTAGTTCCAGCCTCCAAAATCAATTGTTACTAACTCTAAAAAAGTGACTTTGGAGATTTTTGTGCATGTGTAAGTGCAGGTCAGAGGTCAACCTCAGGTAACCCCCCCTCCCCCTCAGAAACACTGTCCACCTCTCTTGAGGCAGGGTCTCTCATTGGCCTGGAGCTTATTAGGGGCGAGGCTGGCGGGCCACGGGGTGCCAGGGATGTTCCCACGCTCTCTCCCGGCTCTGAGATTACAAGTATGCAACCCCACACCCAGCACTTGTGCATGGGTTCTAGGCATTGAGCTTCGGTCCTCACACTTTACAATTAAATATATATATATTTTTTTTCTTTTTCACATTTTCCCTACAATATAAAAACTTTATGTTTTCCCGCTTCACTTCTCTTAATACAATTCAAAATAGGGACTTACTGGGGCTGGGGAGAGTGGCTCACTGGTAGAGTGCCCTGGGTTTGATCGTCAACACCACCTACAAAAGGGCTTCTAATGACCACCAGTAGCGTCTCATCTTTCTCCTTGACAACTTAAAATAATACACTAGAGGTACGTGAAGAGCTCTCTGAGGTAACATTCTAGGGAGAGATGGTCAAAACTAAGGCTAATAAAGCATAGGCTAAGACATATTCAGATTTTTCTCGTTAGAAAGAGATACATAATAATTTTTTTTACAAAGGACATCAGATGAAAAGGAGTCTGATAAATTTAACTTGAAAACAAAGACTCAAATGTTCTTTGTCTAACAATACACATTTACTTACACACACATACACACAAAAAGAAAACCTCAAAAGTTCGAGTTTCAGGTCACAATATCTGGGGCCTGAAGCTATAAAACAATCTTGTGTTTATTTCCCATCAGGGAAGCATTGTATCTAAGAAAAGGATGATGCTAAATAATCTCCCCTCACGCTGTGTGAACTTTGGGATTCATCTATTTTTGGCATTGTGGGAAATAATTTCATTTTGGAAAAAAATAAAAACAAAATAAAATAAAACTTTTTTTGATCAACATTTGTTTACAAGTTTGTTCCCCCCACCCCCTTGCAGGCAAGAAAGAAAGAAAACTTTCTCCAAACCACTATCAAAGGAGAAAACAACAGAAAACCCAGGAACTCCCGTGACCTCTGGACTCTGGAGCTGCTCCTTCAGAAACTCATGAACTAGTCTCTTTTCTCTCTACGTTTGCAAGACTGACCTGACCCATGTGTGTTTGCTTTGAGCGCAAAGAGAAGACTAACCCCAATAGTAACTGTAGCTCCCCACAAGGAGCATCTCTTGCTTACTAAGAAGAAACGTAAGTGTATCTCAGGAACATGAGCTTCCCCCGGGGAACGCCTGTGTTAGAGCTGACAGCGAGGAGGGTATCCTTACGAGCTGAAGAAAACAGCATGCAGGAGCCCAGTACTCAGTCTTGGGCTGAGCAACCGACACCCATCAGGCTTGTGAGAGTGTGACCCAGCTCCTAACTGATAGTAAATCTGTTTTGGCTCAAAACAACCGAACACATTTATGATGACTAAAAGCACAAACAAGGCAAAACAAAACCAACTAACAGATGCTGTGACAAGCACAATTCTGAGCCAGCCTGAGCTGAGCCCGCTGATTTGTAACTCTTCTTGCCTAGCTTTTGATTGGTTTGGATCCCGAGAAAAATAAATTTTTCAATAAAACTGATAACTTCTGAGGGAGCTTTCTCCATCCTTCTTAGCTGGCTTTGTTGGAAACCTGTGGGGGCACAGAATAAAATTAAGATCTCAAAGGGACCTGTTCCAAATAGAATTTGTCATAGATATTTGCTACAGGTTCTCTCTGGGAGCTGGAGGAGGAGGCGGTAGATCTAAAAATGAACTCGACCTTATTTGTGCCAGAACAAAGCATTAGTGAGGGTGTGATAAGAGGAGGGAAGGGAGGCTTAAAAAAAAAAACCTTGCCAGATGGATAGATAACTTGAGAGAACTTTCTTGGGGGCACTTTTTCCAATAATTGAGGAACGAGGGTCAAATTATGTCAGGTTATGTTCAGGTTAGATAATTTTTGAGGGCTGTCATCTTATGATTTTAGCAGCAATAAAACCAAACACTTCGTTAAACGTAAAATGTTCTCAAAAAGGCAGTTAGTAGTTTTAAATTCCAAACACACACTTATTCAGAAATCCCCTCCCAGGGCTCTCCAGAAGAAAAACACAGCATAACACAGGAGTTTTGTGAGTCTCAGAAGCCACCGCACACCTCGTGGAACGAATGACAAATATATGATTGGCACAGCAGGTTCAGGAATGTGGGTACTGAGTGAGGAAATGTCACACCGAGAAGAGGGGACCACTGGACGGGTCTTGTCCTTCCTAATCCCAAAGATATGTGCTAAGACAGAGACATCCATTTTTCAAGTTTGTAATAAGAGTCTGGACTTAGGAATGTTATGTTATATGAGACAAATATACCTAAGGCACTTGGCATTGTGTTCATCGTTCAATATGCAATTAATAAAGGACACCCAGAATTTTCATTATTTGTATTAACGTACCTTATACAAGTACCTTACATAGCAGATATTCAAAATATAGTTACCAAAAAAATATCAAAAATAAAATGATATTAAATAACCTTTACAGGCATATTAGTAATGAGAAATCTATTTTTTTTATATGCCCAGGCTGTTTTCTTGTTGGTTTTTTGTTTTGTTTTTGTTTTAAGACTGGCCTTATAATATAGAGAGAGCTGAGAATGACCTCGATTCCTTGATCTCCCTGTCTCAGCCCCTCAGGTGTGGGAATTAAAGATGTCCTACCATGCCTAACCAGAGATCTAGTTTTTTAAAATTTCTTCAAACTTTCAGATTGGAGATACTTAATACACAGTTTTTCTTCAGGTCGCAATTAAATGCTATCTCACTGGCTACACCGGCATACACCTGCAATGCCTTCAAGAGGAAGACGAGAAGGCTATGAAAATGCTCCCTCCGTAGAGACCATGCCTGTTTTAGAGTAGACCGTCTGTAGCTCAGCCCAGTCTTACCTCCTACAGTTCTCCTTAACTGACTGTAGCTCTGCATTGTTCTACGCTGTCTTTCCTCCTCCCCCACTCAGATCCCCACACTGTGTGAGCTTCCTGCAAGCAGAGACCATAGTGGTTGTTTCCCTCGGAGGGAAGTTAACCCCTGTGAGAGAAGAGTTTATACTCATTTCTTCTGGTTCTGCCTCGAGTTGTTATATTATATAGTCTTCAACTGCTATACAGGAGTTTTCCTGACGGTAGAATTATACTGGTCTTCCTTTCCTCCACTTCATTTCCTTAATTTTCCTCACGGAGTTCCTCCAATCTCCAAACTGGCTCTACATCTCATATCCAGTGTGCATCTCCAGACCAGACACATCTGAGTATATGAGCTGAGGTCAAAATCTGGTCCCTGCTGAACGTAATCGGAGACAGACCTTAGCACTCCTCTATGCTACTCTTTCTGAGAAGAAACCTGTTGTTAAAAATCATAAAACGCCTACGCCAAATCCCAGCTTTCCCAAATTACCAGCTCTGGGGCCACAGAGAAAGTACTGGCATTTCCTGGCTTTCGTGCTTTCGTCTTAAAAAAAAAAAAAAAAATCCCACTCACAAGCTTGCTTTTACTGTTAAGCCAACGTAACCACCCCTCAAAAACCGGACTCTTTTCTTTCTTTCTTTCTTTCTTTCTTTCTTTCTTTCTTCCTTCCTTCCTTCCTTCCTTCCTTTCTTTTTAAATATTTATTTATTTATTATGTATACAATATTCTTTCTGTCTGTATGTCTGCAGGCCAGAAGAGGGCACCAGACCTCACCACAGATGGTTGTGAGCCACCATGTAGTTGCCGGGAATTGAACTCAGGACCTTTGGAAGAGCAGGCAATGCTCTTAACCACTGAGCCATCTCTCCAGCCCCTCTTTTCTTTCTTGATTTTTCTTTTTCCTTCCAACTTTCTTTAGTAATTTTTGCTATCTCCAATGAGTAAGCCCTTACCAATCGTGATCACATACGTTCCCTCTCTTTTTGATACTCTTCTCGGTTCAGGACAAAAAAAAAATCTGCAAATTTGTTTCTTGGGAAATTTAGAGTTTATATTCTTGGAAAATTAAAGAAACTTGAAGTTTGAATATTCTGAAAGGGGGTGAAACAGCAGAACCATGAGAGGGAGAGACAGCTCCAATCATATATTTTTCTAGATCGTATGAGAGATGGAAACTAAGAGTTAGGAGAGGTGATTGCATATCTTCATGTTTACCGGCATGCAAAAGCTCTTTACACCTAGAAATCTCACATGCAGTATCATGCAAAACCCAAACGCAGCGTAGAATGCAGGGATCAGCAAAGAATGCAGAAGGTTCCAGGCAACCAACTGAAATAAGCTTCAAGTTCATACAAACCTCCAACATTAAATTGCTATGTCTGATATAAATGTTTTCACCATCTAGTCTCTCTCTCTTTTTCTGTGAAAATGAAAGGGGGGAAAAACAGAAGCATAAAAAATTAAAATGTTGTTCTTGCGGGGGAACGAACTGCAAATTGGCAAACAAACAAAAAAAGCAGTAAAAAGTAAATGTCTGTGATGCAACATATGCCAACATGAGATGGTCACGGAACTACACGGACACAGGGAGCATGGTTACCAGAGAGAACGGATGACCTTGTTTGCGAACGATGGGAAGCGGTGATGATGTCACTTAAATAGACAGTGCTCCTGGCTCCACAGCTCCTAACACACTAAGCTGCTCGGTGTTTGTTTTTGAAATTGAACTATTTGGATATTGCCCATATGCATATCTCAAAAGCTCTGGACACCATGTATCATGGAGTGGAGAAATGCTGTAAAAAGAACTTAGTTTTTTTTGGAGAGTTTTATACTTATGAATACTGCAATATCTGGATCTCTACAGTGTTCTGTATCCAATCAGGTAACAAGTATATCCAGGAAGAACTGGTTCATCCACTCGGAGGCTGGGAAATAAGCAGGCAGCAGCTAACCCCATACGGTTAATGCGAGACGGTGCTGCTGTGGTGGCTCTTGTGATAACTGTGTATAAAATGCTCACGGGCCTATAGTGTGATGGCACCGGGAAAGTTTTGGTAGCGTCTGCACATGAAAGATAGGTCTGCCCCCCACGACTGCATTTTATTAAGACACTCCTCTGCTGAAAACTGACTTTCATAAAACCCGTCAACAGTCTCAGGTTCTAATGTGTAAATACACATCACAACTACACTGTTTAAAGGTTCTCCACATCCTGGCTCTCCAGAGTAATTCCTGACGAGGAAAATCAAGGGCTGGACCACTGTCTTTTTAACACACTGTCATCAGCACGGGTGAAATGGTGGCGTAGCTGTGTGAAAGCAGAAAATGGCTAACCTTCCTCATTCTTATCAGATCTTCAGCTTTTTCTGCAGGCTTCTGTTTTGGCCACAATTCAATAAAGAAAAAAAAAATAGACAAAATATTGGTTCATTGAAGCTTGTTTGAACCTTTTATTTATTTTTAATGGAAGAGGAATGGGGGAGAATTAAAAAACTGAGGGGTCTACGGGGAAAGGCCTGTTGGCACAAACCTGTGTTTGGTCACCATTTGAGGTAGGTACTGTGACCTCGATGTGGGTTTTTTCCACCTACATTTAAGAAATAAAATAGTGAAACATTTCAGGTTAGCAGGCTTCCATGAATAGTTAAAACAGCATCATGAAGCTGGGGGTTAAATATACTGAAAAATGATCACCACAGCAGGGAAGGTTTTATTCCCAGTGCAGTCTGTTAGTTCATCATCATAGTGTCAAGGCTGAAGAGGTAATATGGATAGCCAAATCATAAAATGGAAAACTGAGTTAATCATCCCGATGATGGAAAAGCATTTTAAATCTTATTTATATATAAAAGTAACCACTACAGCAACAATCTAGTCTTAATACTAAGCCATATGTTCTTGTGTATGACCTGGAAGTACTTTAATGAGAGCGCGTGTGTGTGTGTGTGTGTGCGCGCGTGTGTGTGTGTGTGTGTGTGTGTGTGTGTGTGTGTGTGTCAGCACTAGTGTGGAGGTCAGTTTTTACCTTCTACCTTGCTTAAGACAGGCTGTCCACTGAGGTGTGTGTCTTATCAATATTGACTCTGTCTCCCTTCTCCGGTAGGGTGTTGAGATCATAGACAAAAGTATTACTGCCTCTGGCTTCTTCTTCTTTTTTTAAAATTCACATGACCTTTTTTACATAATTCATTTAACTTATTTTTATATGCAGTGGTGTGAAGGTATCAGATGCCCTGGAACTGGAATTATAGACAGTCATGAGCTGCCATTGTGGGTGCTGGAAATTGAACTCAGATCCTCCGGAAGAGCAGCCGGTGCTCTTAACCACTGTGCCGTCTCTCCAGTGCCCGCCTCTGGCTTCTTTATGAGGGCTCTGAGGATTTGAACTTAAGCAAACACCTCATCCACTGAGTCATCTTCCCAGCCCTAGAAGTGCTTTAAATCAAACTTAAGAACAGATTTCCAAATAAAGATACAAATGTGTGATACACATGATATAAATAAATAGTTTTTATAGCTAAAACATATGTAATAAAAAGCATGTAAGACACTAAACAGGTCAACGTAAAAGTCTGTTAATTAACCAATACATTTAAGGAGATGATTTTACTCTTCAGATCATCAATAAAGATGGCAGCATAGGAAATTGCATACAAATTGTAACTGACGCATGCAACTACTGCCACCTCGGCTGCAGCATCCAGCATCGCAGCCTCCTCTCTGGAAGCTGGAACCACGTGCTTGGCAGATGGGCAGGATTTATGCTTAGTAGTAGCAGAAGAATACTATCCTAGGGACGCCTGTGTATCTTTGGAGTACCTCTAGAAATAACCACCTTACATCCAGAAACTGGAGTCATTATTTTAAAACCTGACTGTGACGAGGAAACAGTGGGTACTGCATGAAGCACCATGTATTTCAAATTTAGAAACCGAATTGTCTTTTCTAACGGTTAAATAATTTTTTCACAGAACCTCATCAACTTGTGGTTCTGGCACATTCTTTAACTCATACAAAGCAGCATTGCTCTAGAGAACAATGCCATTGTGCTATCTTCCCTAGGTTGAATATAAATAACACCAGGTAACACTAGACTCTGCAATACTGCCAAACAAACATAAACGCACATCCAACCACGACACTTTTAACTACAGAGTAATTAACAATTGGGTCATTCTGCTCTAGATCCCAGGGAACAAGTTAGTTCATTTGTCTGAGATTAACCTTCCTTAAGTAATAAAAGAAAGACAACGTCTGTTTTCAGTTTGTTTGTTTGTTTTTGAGACCGAGTTTCACTATGTAGCCTGGGCTGGCCTCCAACTCCATTTCCCAAGATCTGGAATTACAGACATATGCCACCATGTCCAAATTAAAACAGACATAAATGTCTTTATAGAATTATATATACTCTGCAAATACTAGCCTTAAGTTATTTCATAAGCTTATGTTCCCTTTTTTAAACAATAACGTCCTTCTGGGTCCTTAGTAATCTAGCAGCAGAAAACAGAGCCACTACTTCAGTTCAAGAATTAAAACTAATAGCTGGGAAATGGTGGCACACACCTTTAATCCCAGCACTTGGGAGGCAGAAGCAGGCGGATCTCCGTGACTTTGAGGCCAGCCTGGTCTACAGACTGAGTTCCAGGCTAGCCAGGGTTGTTACACAGAGAAACCCTGTCTCGAAAAAAAAACCAAAAAGAAAAATAAATAAATAAATAAATAAATAAATAAATAAATAAATAAAAGAATTAAGGCCAAAAAGAAGGGAGCGGTTGCACACACTTATAGTGCCAGCTCCCAGGGAGAATAGAGCAGAAGGCTCTCGTGATTGCAGGAGTTCAAGGCTAGCCTGGGAAACATAGAAAGCCCATTTCATTCTGCCAAAGAGCTGAGAGTCAAATTAACCTATTTTTGAAGTACCTGTATGTTTTATGGGCAGAAGGAAAACTAGTGAGAGCTATCAGAAGACCAGGGGCGTCTCAACCATTCAGAAAGAGCCCCTGATAGCTTTAACCGCCAACACAGTCAGAAGTGCTAGCTGATATATTCCAACATTAAAAAACCACGCAGGTATTCCAAGGCCACACAGAGCCTGAAGACTAACGTCCACCAGGCTGGTTACAAAGTAGCAAATACCCACCATTCATTCACTCAAAGACAGAGAACCTGATTGCCATATTGAACAGTTAAAAAAAAAAATTAACAGCTGCCCACCGTTCTATGTTAAATAAGATATTAATCTGGCTCCAAAAGAACAGGTCTGATGTTATCAGTGTGCAAAAGAGAAGGCACTTTTCCTAAGGCCTTAACATAAAATTTCCTTTTTTCTTTCTTTCTTTTATTTTTTCAATTTTATTTTTTGAGACAGGATTTCTCTGTGTAACAGCCCTGGCTGTCCTGGAACTCACTGCATAGACCAGGCTGGCCTTGGACTCATAGAGATCCACTGGCCTCTGCCTCCGAGTGTTGGGATTAAAGGTGCGTGCTGGGGGGAGGGTGAGCATGCCATTCTTATGAAGGCCATTCCTCACAGTCCCTTCGCGAAGGGAGACCTGCATCTACTTTTACAGACCTAAGCTAGCACCGTGTAAGCGTTATTTTCAAAGTTGAACATATAAAAAAGATCAACTCAGTTACGGTTTCTGGGAGATCTGCTAACTAACTGGTGATTTTTCAGCTCAGTGCAGGGACTGGGGGTCCTCAGCGCAGCAGATCTTCGTAGCTGGCTGTGTGCTGTCTAAAGAGCTGGGCTGAGATGGCTCAGTAGTTAAGAGCACTGGCTGATCTTGCAGAGGACCTGGGTTTGAGTCTCAGTACCTATATGGTAGCTCACACTGCAACTCTAGCTCCAGGGACCCAACGCCCTCTTCTGACCTCTGAGGGCACCAGGCATGCACATGGTGCACACACATAAATGCAAGCAAAACATTCATACACAGAAAATAAAAAATAATCCTAAAATTTTTAGAAAAGATTTAAATAGCTATATGAACGAGCTTTATGCAGTATCTATTCTTTGGAAATCAAATTCTATAAAAATATACAAGAGGCTGATGAGAAACGATTTCTTTTAGAAACAATGAGAAAAAGCAACTTTGTTGGGAATCTGCAGGATTCAGTTGCTCTGAAAGATGCGTTAGCTGATGTGAGGTACCTAAGACATACCTTCCACGCTTCTGTGGGCTCTGGCTCAGCTTGCTCAGGTGGTTCTTCTTCCCCTTTCACTTCAACCTTTGCATCTTCCTTCTGTGTTTTTTTAACAGGTGCCCCTGGCCCTTCTGTGACCTGACTCTGAGCAATGGCTGGTGCAGAGGTGGGCCGAGGACTTCGGTCTGTGGGTTCAGCAGCTGCTGCTATGTGAGAAAAAGAAGGAAGAATAGTTGAAGGCACGTGTCACTGTGCTGACCTTCAGTCACAGGGTGAAACTGAGAATTCTGTAGTTATCACATAGAATGAAAGCAAACATGAACCATTAGTGCTTTTCAAGGTAGCTTACGGCAACAAAAAAAAGGCTTCCTTAACAGAGAAACTAGGACATCTCGATGACTACTTCATCAATGCTGAGTTTGGGGGCAGAGTGAAGAAAAGGAAGCAAAGCCAAAGTGTAGATTCAGGATGGTTCTCGCAATGAGCCTTTGTGAAATAAGTATCTGTTTATTTTTAGATGATGTCAGGAACCTAAGCATCTAATTTAAGGGGGGAAATGAAGTCTGTTTATTTTTGTCTTACTGTTTTCTGTGAAATCTCTGCAGCATAACTCGATAAAGGGCCCTTCCGATAAGACTAGGATTACTACTACCGTTTGATGTGTGTGCAGGCACATCTTTGAGCCAGATATTCTCCTTTAATAAACCATCTGATGAACATTAATTCAAAAACTTCTTTCATTCAAAACAAAGGATAAACTAATCAAGCCCCCCTCCCAAATGTTCTCCAAAGTATTAGAACACTGGCTCTCAACCAGGGCTTATTTTTTCCCCCCAAGCACATCTGACAATGTCGGAGAAGAGAGAAAGGAGGTGCTGACATCTAGTGCACAGAGACAAAGGGTGCTGAGGCTGAGAAACCCTCGTTAGGGGAGAAGCCTGTCTAGATCACTTTGGAGAGAATAAACGATACAGGCTGACAATAAAAACTTCGGCACATAACGAACTGCTACATGGGTTTGAACTATACGTAAGGTAACTTAATTCAAAACAGGGATTGGGACTACAGCTCAGTAACAGACTGCTTGCCTAGCAAGGAGGGCCTGTGTGCCACCCCCAACAGCACAAAATAAATCAAGAAACAGTCATTATTATTTTTAATTTTTAATCTTCATTTTTTTCTTTTAGGGTTTAAACAAAAATACCCATATATTTAGTCAGAAAGCTTACTAATTAGACACTACCTAAGAAAGTAAGTTTTTAAAACATGATTTATTTTGTTTGTTGGAGGGTCTTTTCTCCATAGACCTGGTTCTTCTGGAACTCAATATGGAGACCAGGTTAGCCTTGATCTCTCAGAGATCTGCCTGCCTCTGCCTCCCGAGTGCTGGAACTAAAGGTGTGCGCTATCACACCGAGCTTTAATATGTCATTTTAAATTGTGTTTAATTTCTATTACCAGTGTGTCTGTGGGCATGGGGTACAAGTGTGTGGAGGTCAGAGCATAACTCCGGGACATCAACTCTTTCCTTCCACTTTGGGATCAGGGACTGAACCCAGGCTGCCAGGCTTGCATGCCAAGTGCTTTTACCCACTGAGCCATCCCAACCGCTCTGATTTAATATTCCAGATAACGGACCATCATCCTTTCTTGTACTGAGACTTTAACTTTCATTGAAACCTCACAATTTTATCACGTACTTTCCTTCCTCTTCAGACTGCCGAACATAATTTATTCTGATACATTTAGATTTATAAACTTTAAAAATGAAGCAAAACAAAGAAATTCTTTCAGCTAGAACAGACTGAAACATGGAAAGCTGCACCTATCTTACACATATGACACTGAGAGAGAGAGAGAGAGAGAGAGAGAGATGCTTATTATCCCGAAAGGATCTCCAGGGAAAGAATTCCTCAGAGGACGCCTAGCAGAACAGCAGAAACAGAGCCAGTTTCATCTTGCAATGACAGATCTGTGGCCGCTTGCAAGTCCCTGTTGCTAATGCGTGCTCTCAGCTAGTCAAGGCAAGACTGGCAGATGGCAAAGCAAACCTAGCAAAACAAGGGAAATGACAAAATATTTGTCTCACAGTTGTGCTAAAGCCTCATATTACATGTGTATTCACACCTCCTCCCAAAGAATTAATTCAACTCTGCCGGGAATCACAGAAGCACAGCCCTTGCTTGCACCATGTGCTATTTTGCCACATGAATTTGGTTCTAATCCAATACTAATACCGCAGAGCCGAGTGATTTATGTCTTCAGCATTCCTACAGTGTATGGGAACTCAGACGCAAACCCAGAAACTGGCGGTCAGACACAGAGGTGGCGACAGGTCAGAAACTGGAAAACAGCAGTTACAGTGAATTATCCCTCGCTAAGAAAAGCAGCAAGAAACAGGCAAGGTCCAAACCCAGCACGGCACATGTGAACCTCAGTCACACACAGCGGTGCTAGGAAAAGAGACTTGAGTTTCCTCGCCTGTGGAATGTGGAAGATTCTAACTGTAGGAGCGTTGGGGAAAGAATACACAAAAGATAAAAAAAATATTTTGTGAGTTCTAAATATCAGTAGCTTTTAATATCACACTTCAGTCCTCGTATTTATTTTTTATAGGCTAGTATTATTTAAAGAATATGCTGGGCAAAAATTAATTATACACATAGTGACATATAATTCAAATGACAGATACCGCTTAGGAGCCCCGAAGAAAGGCAAATTTTCTTCATTTTCACAGTAAGGATACTGCAAACTATAGATCACAATAAATATGGTAGGGGTTGGTTTTCTTTTAAAAAAAAAAAAGCTTTCTTGGGATATAATTTGCATATTGTACAATTTGCTCATTTAAAGTATAAATGTTAAAGTTTATTAGTATGTTAGTGATTGGTCTTTAGGATGCTTTGGCTTGGGCTGCGGAGGCACCCACGCGCCAGCTAAGCACAATCTGTGAACTTGGCCCTGGGTGGGGGACCAGACCCCTGGAGCTCACTGACCAGACAACCTTTCCAACTGGGGAGCTCCAGGTTCAGTGAGTGACCCTGTCTCAAAATAAAGGTGGAGTGTGAGCGTGGAGGGCACTGACGTCACGGTGCGGCACAGGTACTGCAGCGCACACTTTAATTCAGGGGTAGAGCACAGCTCAATGCAGAGCACTTGCTAAGCATGCCTAAGGTCCTGGGTTTGATCCTCTGCACCAAAAAAAGATAAACAATAACATTATTACTTCATTTTTAGCAATTAACGATTCTGGAGTCTGTATAGAGAACACTTAACTTTAAAAAGTCAGTGTCTTCCACTTCTAAGATTTCAGTTGTCAGGCCACTGATGGCTGACAAGAACAGAAGCAGACCTGGATGAAGTGCCATTATTTCCTAATTATGTGTATTGATTGTGTGTGTGTGGGTGTGTGTATGCGTGTGTGTGCGAGTGGTGGGGTGTGTTCACATGAGTGCAGTTAGCTACAGAGTCCAGAAAGGTTTGGAATCCCCTGGAGCTAGGGTTCTGGGCAGTTGTGAGCTGCCTGAAGTGGGGGCTGGAAATTGAACTCAGATTCTCTGCAATAGCCCCGCATGCTCTTAATCACGACATCACTCCAGCCCCAACCTTTTTTCTGATTTTTGAGACAGAGTTTCTCTGTGTAATGCAGTTCTCTGGCTGCTACTTTTCTGTCACCACAGCGGCTGCACCTGAATCTACTGGGCCTAACACCCTCTTCCGACATCCAAGGGCACCCACACTCATGGCTACACACCCACACACAAACACATACGCACATATCTGGAAATAAAATAAATCTTATTTTTAAAGCACACATCTCAGAGGACCGTCCTGGCTTCTGTTTCTACTTCCAAATAGCTTTCTGACTTTGGTGAATTGCTTAAATTCTAAAGCTAAGAAAGAATGATAAATACCAGTAGACAACTATCTGAAGAAATCAGAAAAAAAAAGGATCCAATAAAAGTATAAAGTTTCAGGGCAGTGGTGGTGCACGGCTTTCATCGCAGCACTCAGGAGGCAGAGGCAGGAGAACCTCTGAGTTTGAGGCAGCCTGGTCTACAGTGCGAGTTCCAGGACAGCCAGGACTACACAGAGAAGCCCTATCTTGAAAAACAAAAAGGAAAAGATATGAGTTGGGATGACTTAAAATAAAATACATAACAGGAAAAAAACCACTTAGTTCTAGCTAAGTGGTAAAGCATTTGACTGCAGAAAAATACAGGCAATCAATACATGTGGTTTCTGTAAATAAAGGTTTCTAATTTGCTTAAATTACCAAAGACCATTAGCACTTGAATTTTTAATTTTGGCCATGTGAAAGAAATGTCACACCGGGCAGTGTCTTATGTACCTCTGAAATGCCCCGTGGTGGGGAGGCCATGACAAGTGCTGTCAGACAGACCTGGTGTGTTGTCCACACTCCATGCATGTCTCAGCAGGGCACAGAGACCTTCCACCATCAATTTTCATAATGAAAAACAGCTTTGACATCTCACTCCTCACAGGGAAGTTCAACCGGAGGTCGGGGGGCCTACTGGGTAAGGAAGGAGCTCTCTGGTAGTATCACAAGAATACACAAAGGTGGCCAGGCGATGGTGGCGCACGCCTTTAATCCCAGCACTCGGGAGGCAGAGATAGGCGGATCTCTGTGAGTTCGAGACCAGCCTGGTCTACAGAGCTAGTTCCAGGACAGGCTCCAAAGCCACAGAGAAACCCTGTCTTGAAAAACCAAAAAAAAAAAAAAAAGAATTATTTCTAATGGAATTAATTTTCTTTCTGCCCTTATACTTGGAATAACACTGCATCAATACCACTCTGCAGTCCTTGAACATTCAGAATAAGACTTCAATTCTAATACTGTTAAGTTTTGTGCNAAAAAAAAAAAAAAAAAAAAGAAAAGAATACACAAAGGTATGGAGGGTGAGTAAAAACACAAACGGAAACCTCACCTCTCTACATCCCAGACTCTGCCCCCTTCTGCAGTCCCTTCTTCCACTAACTGATCAAACACAGGAATAAAACCTGATTTTCTCTTCCTTGCCACTTCCAATACTTACTTTATTAGCAATGCTGTCAGCCCTACTTCCAAAATGAATCCCTACCTGCCTTCCACTGCGGTGGACAACACCTAAGCAAGCTGTCACCATCGCTCACCCATGTTCCTCTCCCCTAAATTACGAGAATTTACACCTGTGCTGTTCAGACAATTGTCACATGTAGTTTTTGATTTTTTTTCTTAACTGAAAGCTCAGCTCCTCGGCAGCAGCCACATTTCACGCTCTTAACAACCACACACGGTGATTCTGAATCAGCATCACAACACTTTCCTCGGGCACAGAAAGGTCAAGGGACACAAGCTCATTCTTCCCTTCAGGAAGCCGCACTTGCTACTCTTTCGCCTGGAGCGGTTCATCTAGGCTTTGGGATTGCTAGTTACTTCTCATAGTTCATGTTCTTCTGGGGAATCTTCTGAATTTAACTGGATTACCTAATCTGAAACAACTCCTCCATGTCCCCATTTTGCAGTCTACCTGTTTTACTTGTTTCTGTTTCTACCTATGGAATGAAAATTCCATGAAGACAGAGGCCATGTTTGATACCCACAGCAGTATCTCCAGGGAATACAGGAAGAGAAAAATAAGAGACTGAACAAAGTAAAAGTGAGTTAAATACTTATGTAAGTCTATTGGTATTCATCCACTGCTGCCCTGCAGTGAAACTTCAGCTCACATTTTCTTGAGCTGACTTTCTTAACTCAGTTGTTGGGTTTTGTGTTTGTGTGCTTTTGAGACAGGGTCCCACTATGTGGCCCTGGCTAGCCTGGAACTCACTGGGCAGACCAGGCTGGCACAGAGATCCACCTGCTTCTGCCTCCAGGTGCTGGGAGTGCTAACATCAAAGGTGCACAGCACCAGCCCCGCGCGTGGTTTTTAGGTCTGAATTAGACAGTAGCATCGCTATAACTTCACCACCGAGGTTCTTTGTAAACCAGAGACAGTTGGATTCTCTTATAAAGAACCAGACTTCCCAGTTGGGCATGGTGGCTGGTGTGTAATTCCAGCACTCAGGAGGTCAGGATAGGAGGCTAAGAAACTTGAGGTCAGCCTGAGATACAGAAAGCGCTTGTCTCAAAACAACACAAAAACAAAAACAACCAAACAAAACCCCCTTATACTTCCTTTCTCTTTCGCTAAGGATCACAATTACATCTAATACAAACCTCCATCAAGGCTCCTGGATGCCCGTTTGCTTGCTGTCCGCTCAAAGTGAGGGGCGGGCCTGTCAATCAGAGCACTGGCTTGTCTGGTCTGCGCCTGAGTCCGGCCACTGTATCGAAATTTAGATCCCAGGGCAAGAAATTTACTTTTGGGAATGGTGTCTGTAGAAGTTAGTCTTGGAGAGAAAAAAGATCATAACAATTGTGTTATTTTATTTTTGTGACTATAAAACTAAATATCAACCAAATTCTTGTAGTTAAGAGATTTCTAGTCAAGCAATACTTATTGTAAATGTATGCCATCTCTCAAACAACCAGAGAATAAGTTTAGTAGGGACCTATATTAAAACATTATTAGGTCTCTATAGATAAGGTTTTATGGTTTTCAAAATGGCTGCTAGCACTGTAAGATTTACACTACATCCCTGAAAAGTTTTCATCGCTTTACAAACACAGGATACTGAAACATCCCAGGAAGAAGTTCCTTGCTTAAGGCTACAAAGCTATTAGGAGGCTGGACTGTAACAACCCAAGCCCAGGACTGAGTTTAGCTGCTGTGAAAGCAATGAGAGCCCCTAGCAAGCACCAGTTCTCAGCCTCACTTCCGCTGTCCTTTTATGGTGCATGGAAAGGCGCTGTGGGAATGCTGGGGCGTGCTCTCCAACCAAAGAGGGGGGCTAGATTCACTTTCCTAGGTTAGTTTCCTTGGCTCAGTCTCACCTGGGCTAAATAAAATGGCAGCCCCACAGAGAAGACAGTTTCAACAGCAGGCTCAAAATAAATGTGCACAAATAACGCATCCTTGAGAACCACTGGTGAGGACAATACCTGAAAAACGTGTGATGCTCCACACAGACTTTCCATAATTTCTTAGCTGCTCGGTAACTGGGAAGCTTGAAGCCAATGGTACTTTCATATTGTTCTTGCTATAAAGATACAAAAACACACAGAACATAAGTATTATCTGATGACAGTGATACAGAGCCAGGGAAATATGATACCACCAAAGAGATATTTTTTTTTAAATATTTATTTATTTATTTGTTAATTGTACAATAGTCTATCTGTGTGTATGTCTGCAGGCCAGAAGAGGGCACCAGACCCCATTACAGATGGTTGTGAGCCACCATGTGGTTGCCGGGAATTGAACTCAGGACCTTTGGAAGAGCAGGCAATGCTCTTAACCACTGAGCCATCTCTCCAGCCCCCAAAGAGATATTTTTAAATACAAAGAATGTCTTCGGGTTGGAGAGATGGCTTAGTAGTTCCAGAGGATTACATGGGTTTCATCTCCAGAATCCACATGGTGGCTCACAACCAACTGTTGCTCCATACCCCAGGGATCTAACACCCTCTTCTGAACCCCATGGGTAGTAGGCACGCATGTGATGCACAGACATATGTGCATGCAAAACATCCATACACAATATTCTCAAAAATTAAAAAAATACATTAAATTTGTTTTCTAACTAAAAGAAATCTGCTCAGTGTGGGAGACTTTTTCTAAAGCAAAAAGGGCAGGAAACATGTCTTCTATTACGTATGCATCTTTTTGTTTTTTTAGAACACAGAATACAGGGGTTCTTCTGAGACACTTCATTCAGCTCTTCTTCTGGCTGTTGGAACTGCTTTTCCTTAGGCACACACCTGCACCTGTAACTTTAGATTACTCAATAATCAGAGAAGGAAACGGCCAGTCATTTCTCCAGCCAGTCTATATTATTAAGCAATAGGAATTAGTAATGCGAGCTAAACATTTGTCTCAAACCATTTTATCTTTTTCTGTTTTTAAGGAAGGGTCTCACTATGCAGCCCTCACCGGCTGCCTATGAAATCAGAGCTAGTGCCCCGTCAGCATTTTCAAGGACACACTCATTTGTAACCTACAGTCACCACATTTTGCAATAAGTCTCTGACACTTAGTTCCTTGTTCTTGGATAGCTACAAGTTTTCCTTCCCCATTTTTAAAAATTTATTTATTTATTTATTTTTTGGTGTTTTGCCTGTATGCATGTGAGGTTGTTGGATGCTGGAGTTACAGACAGTTGTGAGCTGCCATGTGGGTGCTGGGAATTGAACTAGGGTCCCCTGGAAGAGCAGGCAGTGCTCTTAACCGCTGAACCATCTCCCCGGCCTCTTCTTTTCCCCCACATTTATCAATATTTCTATACATGTATACTTTTCTCCTTTCCTACATTAAAATGCAAGCTGGTTAAAGAATGGCATCTTTTTACTTACTGTTATATTTAGAGCCCCTAGGATAGTCGTTGGCACACAAAAAAAAATCTGTTTAATAAACATTTCTTGATTAGCTGGGCATGGTGGCGCATGCCTTTTAATGTCAGCACTAGCAGACAGGGCAATCAGATCCTGCAGGTTCCAGGCCTGCTGGGTCTACACAGTCAGACACTGTCTTGAAAAAGTCTTTGTTGTTGAGACTCCAGGATTTTAACTGAGGAAAGATACCGATAGGCACTTGCACAGGTAAATGATGATGGTATGAAACAGTTCTTCAAGGCACATCCAGAATGTTCAGGTTGAGACGGTACCACTTTTCACCAGCAGATGGTGATATACACACACAAAGCCACCTTCCATAAGCACAGGACTTCAGTGGTTAGGAGCAGATACTGCCCTTGCACAGGACCCAAGTTCCGTTCCCAGCATCCATGTCAGGTGGCTCACAACTGCCTGCAGCTCTGGCTCCAGGGGATTCAGTGTCTCTGGCCTCCTGGGGCATCTACATTCATGTGTACATATTCATACACATACCCTTCCCACATACATACTTGAATAAATCTCCAAATTAACAGAGATCCTGTGTAAAAACAAAACAACCTTAAACTCCGATTTAAACAAGTTTCTGTTGCACCACCATGGTACTTCAATATAAAAGCTAAGTTGATGGGTCTAAAATGAAATTTGACCACCAGTTACTGAGGTTTTGGTATTGTTGTTTTGTTTTTACAGGTTTTGTTTCCTAGGTGTTACAGACAGTTCTTGTGTGTACAGATTTGGAAGTCCTGATCATCCTTTCTCATAGTGATATTTTATTTATGTTTTAATAAATAAAGCTGGCCTGAATATCAGAATGGCAAAGCTAAGTAACTAGAAGTCAGGCAGTGGTGGCACACACCTTTAATCCCGGGTTTTGGGAGACAGAGGCAGATGGATCTCTTTGAGTTCAAGGCCAGCCTGAGCTACACAAGATAAGGCAGAGCAAATCCAGGTGGTGGTACCTCACACTTTTAAGCCCAGCACTAGAGGGAATATAAAATGGGAGGAGAGAGAGGCTCTGTCTGCTTATACTGCAGTCGCCCAGCCTTGGTAGAGGTCAGACTTCTCTAGTGGCTTGGCTGCTCTGCTTTTCTGGTTTTTGGGCTGAACCCCAATGTCTGTCTCTGGGTTTTTATTATCTATGCTACATTTCCCCCATTTTACAAGCGCTAGGATTAGCTGAATGAGAACTTCTTAGATGACATAATGGGAAATGGGAAGAAGAAATATTTGATTGACTCATTCACTGCTTTTCTTTCAAGACAGGGTTTCTCTTTGTAGCCCTGGCTATCCCGGGAACTCACTCTGTAGACCAGGCTGGCCTCGAACTCACTGAGATCGGCCTGCCTCTGCCTCCTGAGTGCTGGGGTTAAAGGTGTGCGCCACCACCACCCAGTAATTCATTCATTCTTAAGACGAGATATTCCGAATAACTCAAGCTCAGCCTGAACTTGCAGTTTTCCTCTGCTTCAGTCTCCAGGATTACACGCAGAGGGATTGCAAGCATTTGCTAATTGTGTCCAGCTAGAAGGGATGGTTCAGTCTACATTTGGTTCGGGAGAAAAGAAACTTAAGTTGTGTACCTCTCCAGGTCGGATCTTGATGAAGAAGCTGCTACGTTTGTAAGAAATCTTTAGCACTTTGGGCCAAGGGAAGCGGTTAATTCTCAGCTTATCTTTGTAAACCAAAAGGCCACTAGAGCAGACTCCTAGGATGATATCCACTCCCTCCAAGTCCTGAAAAAGAGAAGTATCAGATTCCACTTGAGTGAAGTGTTCAACACACTGTTGCCTATTATTAAATAATTGGAAGAGATCAACAACCCAAAACAGCTACAAAGCATACAATAAAAACAATAAAGAAGGGCGGTAGTGGCCCATAACTTTAATCCCAGCATTCAAAAGAGAGAGGCAGGCATATCTCTGTGAGTTTAAGGCCAGCCTGGTCTACAGACCAAGCTCTTGGATAGCCAGGTCTACATAGAGAAACCCTATCTTGAAAAACAAATTAAAACAAAAAACCTTAAATCGTCATCTTCCATTGGAGTATTATGTTTCAGAAGACAACTTCAGTGATCCTACTGGCACCATGGTAAGAGTCAGCACTCTTAGGCCAGCGAGACGGTCCAGCAGATAAAGGCGTTTGCCACCAAGCCTGACAACCTGAGCACAAGCCCCAGAATCTCTATGGTAGAGTGGAAAAACTTCCACATTGTCCACTGTGATGTGTGCGTGTTTATTACTGTAGAAAGTTAGCAAAGAGGTCTGACAGTAAAAAAACTTGATGCTAAGTATAAATTATAAATACTGTCCCTAAACCTAGAAAGAATACTAAAGCATTATATCGATGTACCTAGTTATTGAGAAAAAAATAAAATACTAATCACATAACTCAAAGAAAATAATCTGCACCTGAATTAGTTATATGATTATTTATCTAGTTAAGTAATCAAACCCAAAGTTAAATGCTTCCCGACTACTTTTCCTAAAATGAGTACAGAGGAAAATTATAATTGCCTAAAGGTGTTAAAAGAATTACACAGATAAAGAAATCCAGCTTCAATTCCAAGACCGTGTAGCTGAGAATGTACCAGAAGATGCCCTCTTATGCTTTTTTTTTTTTTTTTTTTTTTTTTTTTTTTTTTTTTGTTTTGTTTTGTTCTGAGACAGGGTTTCATTGTAGCTTTTTAGAGCCTGTTGTGGAACTAGCACTTGTAGACCAGGCTGGCCTCGAACTCACAGAGATCCGCCTGCCTCTGCCTCCCGAGTGCTGGGATTAAAGGTGTGTGCCACCACCACCCATACCCTTTCACATTTTTAAAGGCCACAGGTTACAACTATCTTCCTCTTCTTAAATTTCTTTTAAAAGGGCCGGAGAGAGGGCTCAGTGGTTAAAAGTACTCACTGACTGCTTTCTCAAAGGACCCGGGTTCAATTCCCGGCACCCACACAGCAGCTCACAACTGCCTGTAACTCTAATTCTAGGGGGTCTGACACACTCAATATAGGCATACATGCAGGCTAAACACCAATAAACATAAAAATGCTTAAGACTTAATTAATTAATTATGGGTGGGCCCAGACCTGTCACAACGAAAGTACTTGTGGAGGTGAGAGGACAACTTGCCGGAGCTGGCTGTCTTCTTCCGCCATGTGGGTCTCACCCGGCTTGGCACCAGGTGCCTTTACCCACTGAACCAGTTTGTTAGCTTTCTTCCTCTTTTGATGACATTACTGGGAGGAACATTGCTTTGCGACATTTTGAAAGGGCACGTGTTACCTGACTCCATCCACTCCTGACACCAGCCTCCACTAGGAAATGAGAGCTGACACACGGGTCCTAACAGCACTCTCCAGGGGCACGGGAGGCACAGTGCCCTGGGCAGAGCAATGCAGAGCACAGCGAGGGCTTTAGAAAGCCACGGCCTTGCAATGACATTTTACTAGGATGAGGAGAACCCGGAAGATCGTCCACAGGTCTAAGTAGAGACCAGATGCTTGAATGACCTCATGCCTGAATGCTTCTAAATTCCTACCAAGTGACTGTTTTGCTTATTCTGGAATAAATGGAGCAAGAGAGAGTTCATCATCCTCTGAGATAAGCCCATCACATCTTTGAAAAGTTCTGCTAAACAACTTGTCACACCGAGCTAAAAAGTAGATTTCCCTGTAGTTTCCATGTTTCTATTTTTATGTCATTGGGTTTATGCCTGGAAGCCATGATGAAAATCTCTTTACTTTAAAACATTTATTTATTTGAAAAAGGGTCTTATGTATTCCAAGCTGGCCTCAAATTTCCAAAATAGCCAGGAATGATCCTGAACTTCTGATCCTCCTGCCTCTACTTTCTAAAGGCTGGGCTTATGTATGGGCAAGTACCAGCAGGTCTGGTTTATGACCGCAGGGGACTGAACCCAGGAATTCACGCACACTAGGTAAGCGCTCCATCAGCTGAACTTTATCTCTAGCCCCATTTCCCTTTCGTGGCTAGGTATCTCTACTCCTTTATTTCTTACTGGCTGTGGCTTCCTCTACATCACAGCTACCAGTTCCTCTAAATAAGTCTTGGGATCATCTCTTTGCAGCACCCCTAGCCATTTTAGTAGCCAAGCGACCTGATGAAAGTTCACGCTTCTGATTTCTGGCCCCAGTGGCTCTCCAAAGAGCCTCGGCTCAGCCAGAGTGCATGAGTCACTTGGAGAGCTCGTCACAGACTGCTGAGGTCCTCCCCACCTTCTGATTAGTAACTCTGGGAGAGATCTGAAACATGGATTTCTAACAAGTTCCTAGATGGTGTTAAATGCCACTGACTCAGAGACCACACTTAGAATCGCTGGCCTTGGGAAATGGCTCTGATTCGGGCATCATGAGCACCATTTGAATGGTGATTTAACTCTGGAGCTAGAGCCACTTCTGAGCCAGCCAATAAATCTGGGCAGAGCTCTGGAATCCGCATATTTAGCAGGCAACCACGTGATTCTTTGGATAACATTGCTTGTGAAACTGAAATATCCCTTGATGACTCTCTGTATTTTCTTTATTTTTTTTGACTGTCTGTATTTTCAAATGTAACTTTATTTTAGAAAATACAACTTATTTTCCTTTTGATTTTCATATTTTTATGTTTACATGTTTTTGTTGCAATTTTTGTAAATAGGAAACATTTTATTGATATAGAATTCATATAGCACACAATCTTCCCACTTAAAGAATACAATTCATTTTTCAATATTTAGAGGCATACAATCTCCCCCCCACCAAAAAAAAAAAAAACCCTTAAGAAGCTATTCTCTAGCATGGCAGTGGTGGCATATGCCTTTTTTAATCCCAGCACTTGGGAGGCAGAGGCAAGCAATCTTTGAGTTCGAGGCTAGCCTTGTCTACAGAGCAGCAAAGTTCCAGTACAGTCAGGGCTACACAGTGAAACACTGTCTTTAAAAACAAAATAAATAAATGAAACACCATAAATAAATGTTGTTAAGAGGGATAAAACAAGTGCACCATATACATTAATAGGTCTGTGTCATATGCAAATTCACACATGTTAAAGGCAAAGTTATCACTACCTTTGCTTTGTGAAGATCAACTCCATACATGGATAACTTTTTGGCATTCTCAAGAAACTCCAAGTCAGCCTGAGCTGGTGTCATAGACCTTTGGCAGAATAAAAACAGAAAATTCAGTGACACAGCAGAAGCATTTACAGCAGTAACAACTGAATATTCACTGTGCTTTATATGAACACACACACACACACCAACATGTATGTATAGAATTGAGCCCTCAAAGCAGTTATGGAATGAGAATCTTCTCACTATGTGAGTCTAAATAATTTAAATATGTCTTAGAAAACAAAAGTTTAAAAAAAAAAAAAAAGGATGTCACCCAAAGACTATCGGAAAGGCAAACTCTTATCCAACTACTTGCTTCAAGCGACCCCATCCATCCGGAGCTCTGTGCCCCTCTCTTCAGCCTTTTTCTGTGTCACACATGAATTCTTCCTACTATTTTTTTTTTAACCAAGGAGATGACCAAATTAAATCCCCAGTAAAATTTACAAGATCCTCTTAGCTACCCTTTTCTCTCTATACTCTGAACTGAGTTATTATGGAAATTAAACTGGAGGGCAAGCTAATGTCCCTTAACTGGGACTCTTAATGGGGGCAGATTTGATGAAAAGAAATTTTCTGGTAACAGATGGTGTCCTGCCCACTAATCTCAACAAATAAGCTGGCTAATAGAAGCACCCTGAAAATGGGACTGTTTTCTGTTAGTAAGCTGTCTTCACTGCCAGCCATATAATGAGTTGAACTTGTTTGAAAACAATCAATCGCACTGGGTAAGCATTCACTGTGCCAGCCTCTCCTTTAAAAGTTTCTTCTCGAAGGATGTGCTTGAGCTGTTCTGTTAGCTTTGGAGACAAAGACATCACTCATAATGCTGCACAATCTGGACCAATTACGACGGTTCACAGTAACAGCAAGGCAGTCGCATCCCCAAGGAGAACCACTTGGGACAAGCAGCCTTCCCCTAAGACCCTGGAGTCATCGAAGCAGCAGGGGCGTCTTCATTTAACCAGGAAAGGCCTCTGCCAAACCCATCTGTCTTTTACTAAAAAGAACAAAGGGTTTCTTGGAGCCACCAAAGGGAGAAGAAAAAAAAAATCACCCCAGCTTTCCTGAATAAATGTTTCAAAAAGCTCTAAAGCGTCACACCTGAACCTATTAATTGGCAGTGTAAACAAAGGGGGTGGAAATCTGTATGCAAGTTATTCAAACACCTCGGGCAACTTTTGTAATTGCATACATCTTTCCATGTAAGCGACATGAGGTTAGTCTCAGCTATTTTGTTTTTGTTGTTCCTATTATTACGTGTTGATAAGTAGAACCCAAATAATGTCTATGTGTACATCACAGGAATACACAATGGTTTTGTTTGTTTGTTTGTTTGTTTGTTTTGGTCTCTGGTATACACATGAAATGTGATTATCAAAATCAAATGAGATTATGTTTGTGAAACTGCTCTGTAAGCTATAAACGTTTACTACTAACTGAAACTTTAGTTTTCTAATAGTTCAGTGGTCCATCTACATACAGATCATAAAATAAAAATACAAAAAAAAATACTTCGTAGCCAGGAGTGGTGGCACAGAACTGTAATTCCAGTACTTGGGAGATGGGGCAGAGGGACAAAGTGTTTGAGTCAGCACAGGGTACATGAGACCATCTCAACCCCTACCCTCACTCCCAAAACTTTTTTTTTTTTTTAAGAGAAATAGCCAGAGGTGGTGGCACAGGTCTTTAAACCCAGCCTTAGGTAAACAGAGGCTGAAGGACCTCTTTGAATTCAAGGTCAGCCTGGTTTACATATTGATTTTCAGGGAGGCAAAGCCACACAGTTAGATTTTTACCTCAAGAAAGATTTTTTTTTTGGGGGGGGGGGTTAGATCACTTAACTTCATACACAAATTTTAAAACATTAAATAAAACACACAACAGAAGCTTTCCTCTAGAGCTGGGGGATGGCTCCCTGCTTGTGCGAGCATGAGGACCCGAGCTCCCAGCACCCACAGAAAAGGCCAGCAGTGTGCGCCTATAATCCCAGTGCTGAAGAGGCAGAGGCAGGAGGATGCCAATCTTCCTGGCCAGTTAATGCAGAGAGCTCCACCGTCGGTGAGGCTGACAGGAGCTGGCTGGCTGGTAAAGATATGGCTCAGTTGGCTCACCGTGCAAGAGGGAGGTGCAGAGAGAGTTCAGACCCCGCATCCATGTGAATAAAAGCAAAATATCATCCACACCCTATAACCCCGGCTGAGCAGGACAGAGGCGGGAGAATTGTTGGGGACTTGCTGGCTGCCGGCCTAGTTAAGAGAACATGAGCTCCAGGTTAAGTGAGAGACCATATCTCAATGGCACAAAGTGGAAGAAAATAAAGGACACCTGATGCCACCCCTGAGCTCTGCCTACACAGGCGCCTATGCATGCATACGTGCACATACACCACACACAAAAACATCTCTCACAGGGGCTGGAGAGATGGCTCAGAGGTTAAGAGCATTGCCTGCTCTTCCAAAGGTCCTGAGTTCAATTCCAGCAACCACATGGTGGCTCACAACCATCTGTAATGAGGTCTGGTGCCCTCTTCTGGCCTTCAGGCATATACCCTCTTCTGGCCTTCAGGCATATACGCAGAAAGAATATTGTATACTAAATTTGTATACTAAATAAATAAATAAATATTTAAAAAAAAAACTCTCACACAATAAGGTGGAGAACAATAGAGGAAGACATCGATGGTACCAGTCTCCAAAGATGCTTGCATAGATACATGTTATCTGCATACATTTCTCTGTCTGTCTCTCTCTCTGTCACACACACAGTTTAATTTTCCACTATATTCACTTTTCAACTCTAAGGGACATCAATTTGAATATACATATTCAAACTACGTATCTAGGTAAGTGTGCTTCAACACATGAGGAGGAGGTAAGTGTATAGATCTTAGTTTATTGATACAAATTTAAGGCAAATTTTGTTATATGTATATTTCTGCTTTTGACTAAGGCATTGTGTCTGAGCAGTCCATTTAAAAATGTAATGTATAATTAAGAAATAAAGGTTAATAGATAATCATCTATGACAGCCTAGCTTGTAGTCATGTTAGTTAGGTTTTCTAGATATATAGAGATATATTTCAGTTAGATATTCTTCAAACCTTTCAAAGACTAACAGAATATGATATTTAAAATGTTTTAAGAACTTAGTACTTTTCATGACAATGAGACACATCTGCTCCTGGCAGCAGCAACTACTTCAAGAGGATGATGGACAACAAGGAGGCTCCTTATGGAGTTTGCTAGCCATTTGGAGGGAAAAAAAAAAAAAAAAAAAACCTTCTCTTGTTTGGATGGCTTGATGTTATGCTGTATGAACTGGACATGCAGGACCCATAGGAAAATGACTGCTCAACTCGCCTAAAAGTGAGACAGTCCTTTGGGGTCCCTGTTTCATGAAAGAGTCTGCCAGACATTCTGCAGGACACAGAAGAAAGTGACTGACAAACTGCTAATATAGGCAGAATTATCTTTGAAACTTCCTGCTTCATGGAAAAGTCCAGGGTGGTCCTAAAATCCCTGACCCAAATGAGCCTTCCACCTCACCCTCCAGAGTACATGCATCATGAAACTGTACCAGTACAACAGTCTTAAATGCTATTTTTTGTTTGAAGGTTGATTTTTTAGTTTTTTAAAAAACTTTTAGTTTTTTTCTTCTAAAAGTACTGGCGCATTCCTTTTTTAAAAACGTATGTCAAATAACCAAGTCTGAGCGATTATAGATTGTTGACCTTTTTTTCCAATAGTGTTACAGAAAAACGGTGGTGAACTCATTCAGCCCACAATGTAATCATGATGCTTTTGCTGCTGTACACGGTTGTACTTGAATTGGCAGGCAGAGGGATACTTTAAGTACATTTCATTAAGTCACAGACCGTTAACTAAAATATATTCAAGATTTGATACAATGAACACTTTTTAAAACTATTTAATCAATATTGTCTTGGGCTGAGAGCAAAGCTCAGATGTACAATGCATTTGCCTGGCATGCTCAAGCTCCAGGTTTAACAATGGCATCTAAACTAAAATAGACTGTACTTCAGCCGGGCGGTGGTGGCGCCCGCCTTTAATCCCAGCACTCAGGAGGCAGAAGCAGGCGGATCTCTGTGAGTTCGAGACCAGCCTGGTCTACAAGAGCTAGTTCCAGGACAGGCTCTAAAACCACAGAGAAACCCTGTCTCGAAAAGCCAAAAAATAAAATAAAATAAAAATAAAAAAATAGACTGTACTTCAAATTGCTGGGCATAGTGAGGCAATGCTCATAATCCCACACTCAGGAGCAGAGGCAGGAGGATGAAGAGCTGCAGGCCACTCATACTCATGAAGAGTATGGAAGAAAGGAAAGAAGGGAAGAAGGTAGGTTAGTTTTGTTGCTGTTTCATTTTTTAATTCATTTGTTCACACAAATGCAGGCCATAGCACTTCTATGGAGGTCAGAGAACAATCTGCAGGAGTTGGTTCTCTTTCTACCATGTGGGATCTAGGGACTGAATTCAGGTTATCAAGTTTGGTAGCAAGTATCTTTACTTACTGAGCCATCCCACGGGTCCCTGTAAGAAAATTCTTAAATGAACCGGCCTTTTTATTTTTTTTAAATTTACATGTGTGTGTCTATGCATTACGTATGTGCATATGGGCACTCCTGCTCACGTGTGAGTATGTAGGGGTCAGAGGTCAATGTCAAGAGCCCTCTTCTGTTGCTCTCCAACTTACCTTTTGAGGCAGGGTCTCTCCCTGAACCTGGAGCTCTGCTACTGTTAGTGAGCATCCTCCTTGTCTCCACCTCCCAGGGCTAGGATTATGGGTACTTGTATTGCATACTGGTGAGAAATATGGCTACTAGGACAGTTTTGTGCCTTAGTTTGTGCTTCAGCTCCTTCGACACAGTGAAAAGGTCAAATAACTTAGAATTACCATGGAAACAATTCTGAGTTCAGAGACCTCTTTTGAAGAGGAGCAGAGTTTGTGGACGACGCTTTTAGATCGGCTGGCTAGTTTAAAAGGCGGCTATAAAGGTTAAGTGCGACACTGAGCATAAAGTGCTTAGCACACTATCTGGCACGCAGGAAGAGACGATTATAACTGATGACTTATAATTATCATGATTATGTAACAACGGTACAAAGAACAAGTCAAGCGTTAGACGAGAGACTGTACAAAGTCCTTCCAAATTTGAATCCTACTGTGATCAAATAACCATTAAAAGTATCATCGGAAGCCGGGCAGTGGTGGCGGCACGCCTTTATCCGCAGCACTCAGGAGGCAGAGGCAGGCGGATCTCTGAGTTCGTGGTCTCACACATTAGTACCTTAGGGCGCATAAGCCCAATGCAGAAGTAAATTTTGAGAGCTGGAGAGACAGATCAGTAGTTGAGAGCACTTGGTGCTCTTACAGAGGATCCAGGTTCAATTCTCAGCACCAGCACGGTGACCTAATAACATTCTGTAACTCCAGTGCCCTCTTCTGACCTCCATGAGCACAAGGCACACACACAGTGCATATAATACATGCAAACAAAACATCCGCACACGTAAGATAAACAAATGTAGCTGGGTGGCACCTGAGATGACCGCTACACGGGCTATAAACTACACTCCTTAGTGTGGGTCTGGGGGGCGGGGTAACGGCACTTATCATCAAGTCTGAAAACCCGAGTTTGAGTTCTGGAACCCACATGATGGAAAGAAATCCGACTCCTGCAAGCTATCTTCTGATTTCCACACCTGCACTCCGGAACACACATGTGTGAGGCATACACACACTCACTCACACACACACACACACACACACACACAATCAATTAATGAAATTATGGCTTTCATGACTGAGGCATCTGAACCTTAAATGCAATAAGACAGTCAGAACCAGGCCATATTAAGGTAAAGAACAAACTCAAAGAGAACAGGACAGTTCCACAGACAGACAGAATTCTTGTGGCTACCGCAGCAAGCTCCAGAGACCGTGCTTTGGACTTCTCTTTGAACAAACTGACCTTTTAAATCTTTGTAACGCAGTGCCTGCTCACACAGCTCAGGATGCCATGCTAATGTGATGTCAACCAAAGTCAAGATCAGACTAAAGCAGTTCGTGAAATTTAACTACAGTAAGTCACTCAAATAAAAAACAGGCGTATGGAGAAAGAAATACAACGGCGGGGGGGGGGGGGCCCATTTTGGTATTAGATAACAACTACTGGGTTTTTATACGTCACACACACGTTCTCTTTTCTAAACTTACTCTTTGCCTCATTTCTTCTAAAGTAATAATCTCAATTAGACACTCTAAGAACCAGATCAGAGAAAACTGAAGGGACTTAAGTTCACAGGGAAGGGACAAAGCAGAGGCATGACCTCAACCTGCCTCAAACCAAGGATAGGCCTTGCTCTTGGTCATGGTATGCTACCTCCCAACGTTACTAATTAACTTCATTAAAAGCAGTAAATCAGGGAATTTGATGAAGACGTGGCTTTAGAAAATACTTTCAAGGGTACCATGACCCTCTGAATCCACGCACATGCACAGCACCCAAGTCAGAAGTTCTTGCTCTAAGGCTCTTAAGGCACCTAATATAGCATATATCTAAAACCTGGAAAAGTTAAAGCAGTAACAGTGATAGCTACCATTTACTGAGCACCTACTATGTGTGCTAAGTGGTTTCACACACATACACACACACACACACACACACACACACACACACAAATTAAACCTGGAAACAAAAACAGAAACAAACAAAAAAATTTTTCCATTACCCTGATAAGAAAAACAGTCAGAGGGCTTGAATGCTTTTCCCAAAGTCAAACAATAAAGGGAAATGAATTCAGGGTGACTCTCCCTATGGTAAACAATGAATCAATAACAAGTCACGGGGTTTAAACTCATGGCCAAAATAAACCCAGAACTTCTGCAGACATGTTCACCTGTATGATTTATGCAATTCCATGACCTTCTCTTCAAGTTCCCTGGTCTGATTTGGAGCCAGTTTAAATTCACTAACATAATCCACGCCATGCAGTTCCGGGTCATAGTCTCCCAGTTCAGACTGGACGGTGTAAGAGCCGAGGAGGGCTAAGGTTGCAAAGGAACAGGGTAGCCGTCCAGCAATGATGTCCTGCCGAAGCTGAAGACATAAATAATACCTACATCCAAAATAAGAAGAGATGTGAAAATATCAGTAACAACAAAAGAACACAATACAGACAGACAGAAAAGAAGAAAGGGGGAAAGAAAGAAGAGAGAAGGAAAGAGGCTAAGGACACACAACATGATAATTGTTGAGTATAGGACAGGGGACACATGGCTAGTCATTGTGAAATTGTTTCTTCCTTTTATTTAAAATATTTTCATAAAAAGTTCAATAACTATATTAAACAGAGTTGGAAAGCAGTTTAGAAAAAGAGGAAAAGCAGGAAACATCTGAAGGAGTTAAAGAAATTATTTTATTGAGTACATACTCTTTTGGGGGGGTAGGTGTGGAGGTCTTTAGACAGTGTTTCTCTGTGTAGCCCTGACTGTCCTGGAGCTCACTCTGTAGACCAGGCTGGTCTCAAACTCACAGAGAGCTACCTTTCTCTGCTTCCCGAGTGCTAGGATTAAAGGCTTGCGTCACCACCGCCCAGTGAGTATTATGCACACACAGTATATATTATACTATATAAATGAAATAAACAGTTTTCTCAGGGAAGGAGAAGACATCATAACTGAGAATGACTTTACACAAAGTAACCTTAGAAAATGCTATAGGCTTTTCACAGTACTTAATCATCAGATTTTAGGAGTTTAAATTATTCCCTCATTTATATTTTCCTGTATTTTTATTTTACAAATGGGTATTCTACCTGCATATTTCTGTGTACCATGTGCATGCACTGTCCATGGAGACCAGAATAGGGCTTTGGGTTTCCTGGGGCTAGAGTCACAGATAGCTGTGGGCCACCATGTGGGTGCCGGGAATTGAACCTGGGTCACTAGGAAGAGCAACCAGGGCTTTTAACCACCAAGCCATTGCTTCAACCCCTCCCTCGTTTTAGAGAGATGAAAACTGAATCCTAGAGATTAAATTCCTCAGAAATCAGATTATCAACAACAAAATCAGATTGAGAAAGTAGTTTCTTGGCAACCCAGCAATTCAATTTAACAAATATTGCCAAGTATCTACTATGAAGAGGGTTCCTTGATGGCATCACAGGTGTGAATGCTCAGAGCAGTACTGTTCAACATACAGCACTCTTCTGCTTAGTTTTTGTTCATCTTTGATAAAATCAAAAATAATTTTCTTAAAAACTCAATAATTTTTTTTGTTTTGTTTTGTTTGTTTTTTGAGACAGGGTTTCTCTGTAGTTCTGGAGCCTGTCCTGAAGCTCGCTCTTTGAACCAAACTCACAGAGATCCGCCTGCCTTTGCTCCTGAGTGCTGGGATTAAAGGTTTGTGCAATAAACTAAATAGACTCAAAAATGGGTTAGTAGTGCTCGCTTCGGCAGCACATATACTAAAACTGGAACGATACAGAGAAGATTAGCATGGCCCCTGCGCAAGGATGACACACCAATTCGTGAAGCGTTCCATATTTTAAAAAAAATGGGGGGGTCAGTACAAGGAGACGGTTTAAAGGAGAGATAAAGAAATAATTATTATGTGATTTTGCTGTTTTCAACCCCATGGGGAATACAGTAAAACAACTGGGTCTTGCCAGGGGAGTGTTGTTTAAGAGAAGCCCCGCCCACCCTGCACTGTACTATGTGGTGTAACCCATGGTAAGCAGGGTGGCTCCTGCCAGGTTCCAGCCTTTCAGGCTCAGCATCTGCAAGCCTGGTTTGAAGGCACCAGAAACTCTGTATTTTAGACTAACCATTTAACATTTTCTCCTGTTCTGAGTGGAAAAATTCCCAGAGCTGATGGTAAGAATACTGCTCTGGATTTCCATGCCGACGAACTTACCTTGTTATGTCTTCAGTCAACTGTGCTGGGTCAGGCGGATAAAACTTCACATTAAATGTGAAGTTCCAAGGTACACCTATAAAAATAAAGACAACAGGAGTTTTGTTTTTATGTCTAAATTTGTGATTTTTTTCCCCCCTTAAATCTTTCAACATTTTCTGTTTGAAAACACTATTACCTTGCTTAGATTTCACCTAGGAAAGCTAGAAGACCTCTTTTATCTTTTAGCCTTAGCAGTCTTCATTACAGTGGATTAGAACCACACAGGTAAAATTATATGAAGAAACAATTCTGCATCTTGACTTTTTCACAGAACTTATTTTAGGAATGTGATTAATATTTTGCTCTGAGTCATCAGAAGTCAATGGGTGCTCTTTTGCAATTCTGAAGATATTTATTTATGATTTGTAAACATTACCTGAAATAAAAGTTCATGTGCACATATATACACATAATTCAATTATGTAAAAGAAACAAAAATTTAAGATAAAATAAATTCAGCAAAATAATATTTGAGGAATCTGGGTGCAGGCCTCCTATGAATTCTTATACTATTCTCTTTAATATTTTCCATAAGTCTGAAGTTATTTTAAAAATTTATTAATAATTTAAAAGATTTACTTCTATCTGTGTGCGTTCTCTATATATGCATGTGTGTGTATGTACACACGCACATGTATGCAGCTGCTCATAGAGGCCAGAAGTTGTTATTGGATCCCCTGGAGCAAAATTATAGGTGGTTCTGAGCTGCCTGGTATGGGTGCCGGAGACCAAAAGGTCCTCTGGAAGAGCAGGAAGTGCCCACAATTGCTGAGCCATCTTTCCAGCTCCTTTTTTTTTTTTTTTTCAAGACAGAGTCTTTCTTACATAGTCCTAGCTATCCTGGAATGCACTCTGTAGACCAGACTGTCCCCAGACTCAGAGACCCACCCGCCTCTGCCTCCGAGTGCTGAGATTAAAGGTGTGCGCTAAAACCTCCCAGCTTAATTTTTTTTTTAATGGCTTTCTGGCACTGAAGAAAGTTTGGTTTAGCAAGTAAGAGCAACTGCTACACAAGTATGAATTCAAATCTCCAGAGGCCATGCTAAAAAGCTGGACATGGCTGCACATGCTTGTAACCCCAGCACCTATACAGGGGCAGGCAGAGAAATCACTGGAGCTTGCTGACTACCAGCTTAGTTACAGCTTCAGTGAAGAGACTCTGTCTCCTGGGAACATGGCGGACAAGTGAGGGAACAAGACATTCAACTTCCAGATAGCCTGCTAAGCCCTATTTCCAGGCATACATCCTAAGTCAGGGTTGTTTAGGTTTTTTTTTTTTTTTTTTAAGTGTAGGTAGGTTACAATCCATTGTAAACCATTTTGGTGGAGGAAATATCAGCACTAAAAATATGAAGTGGATATAAAAGAAAACATAAAGATGCCACTCACAGTAAGGTTAGGAATAGTTGGGTGAAATTTCTTTCTGATGAATGTAAGTTTCAAAAATGATGCTGAGTAAGACAAGTCACTTAATTTTTATGGCATTCAAATGGTTTTAATACAGCCATATTTAAAAATAATAAAAACCCAGAAGAAATTAAAAACTCCCAAAAATTCAATAGAATAATTATCTCAAAGTTCAAGAAAGTGGTGAACTTTGTGGAAAAAATGGAGGAGGGTACATGGGCTAAAGGTTTTTTAAAATGTAATTTGGGTAAATTACATGTAATTTTCAGCATACAGAAAAGGTGTAAGCATATCTTGCCTGTGGACTATCCCTTGTTTAAATTTTCTAAAATTCTGAACTGTGTTAAAACATTTTATTAATAATTTTAAGTTAACTGGCTATTTTTGTAATTTTTTTTTTTAAAAATTATGTGCATTGGTATTTCTCCTGCATGTGTGTCTATGTGAGCAAGTTGGATCCCCTGGAACTTAGAGTTACAGACACTATGAGCCGCCATGTGGGTGCTAGGAATTGAACCTGGGTTCTCTGGAAGAGCAGCCAATGCTCTTAACTGCTAAGCCATCTCTCCATCCCTACTAATAAATCTTCTAAAGAATTATTTCTATGGGTGTGTGCTGCATGTGCAGTTACTAACAAAGGCCAGAAGAGATTATTGGATGCACTTGAGCCAAAATTACAGATAGTTGTGAGCTGCCTGACATGCCTTAGGATGAGGGTGGCTAGCCTGACTCAGCAAGAGAGAGCCCTCATCCAGAACCAAGAAAATAAAGAACCTTAAGTCAAGTGGGCAGGAGGAAAAAAAAGACAGATAAACCTAGAAGAAGATACAAAAAGCTGGCTCTGAGGAAATTTCACAACACAGGACAAAGCAACTTTGTATGTTCTGCACGCGGATGACTATGGAAGGGACAGAAACAGAACTGGAAAGTCCCCCCGGCTGACAGCAGACTTCTACAGGCAGGGGAGATGTGACGGGAAAGAAAGCCAAGGAGCTCACACTTCTCTGCTGACAAACCAGAAATGTTAACGCACGTTAATTCTGGATGGATGGGGAACATGGGCTCTGTTACATGGCCTCCATTCTTTGTTGAAATTCTATTACAATTTAAATTTGGGGGGGGGTTGCTCTGGTGTTTTTTCTTTTCTTTGTTTTTTTTTTTGTTTTTTGTTTTTTTTGTTGTTGTTGTTGTTGTTTATGCCAGGTAAGTGCTCTATCACTATGCTATATGGCCAGTCCTGAACTTTACTCTACTTTTAAGAAACTGGATTGAGGAAGATAGCTCAGTTGTTCAAGCACTTGCCTTTTAAGCGTGGAAACTTCAACTTGGTTCCAAGAACCCACAGTAAAGAGAAAAAAAGACTGTTCATGATAACACACTTTTGTAATCCTAGCACTGTGGAAGTGGAGACAACAGATTCCTGGAGCTCACTGCCCAGCAAGACTAGCATACCTGGTGAGTTTCAGGGATTTCAAATAACAAGGTAGACAGTGCCCAAGGAATAGGACCCAAGGTTGACTCCTGCCCTCCATACACAGGTACACACACACACGTGTACCTCTACAAAAACAATTACTCATGCATATACCAAAAAAAATCCATAGATACTTAGCGAATACAGAGATATATCCAAAAATGCAAACATGAATGCAATAGGAAACTAACGAGACTAATCCAAAATACACAGAAATATGATTATTTATATATAGCATATGTGATCTTTTTTTTAAAACAATAAAATATAGACAGATGGAAGAATAGATAGATGGATGGATGGATGGATGGATGGATGGACGGACGGATGGATAGAGAGAGATAGGCAGGCATAGATACCAATACCCCGTTGTACAGAAAGATGAGTCACATATTTAAGTAGACACGACCATGGGTATGTGTTTAAATGCACTCAGACTTGTCTAGAAGGAAGACAGGAAATTAGTTGCCATGGTTGCTTCCAGAAAAGGAAACTGCATGACTAAGGCAGGGTAGGAAGATTCACCTTGTGCTATTTTCGTTTGCACCTTTAAATGTTATATTGTATACCTGTAACATTTACTTTTATAATTGAGTTTTAAAAACCATGTACAGCGTAATTGCTTTGGTCTGCTTGTTTTGAGAGAGGCCCTCAAGTAGCTGAAACCCAGATATGTATATCTATCCTGGGTACATTCTGAAAATTTCCTATCTGCCTAGAAATATCACACAGATTATACCAATCTAATTGATTATATTTGATGATGTTTAAATTATTCATGGGGGCTACAGAGATGGCTCAGCAGGTAAAGGTGCTTGCCACATAAGCCTAGCTACCTGAACTGAATCCCTGGAACCCATGTATAGGTGGAAGAAAAAACTGACGCCGCAAAGCTGTTCTCTGACCTCTGCATACAAGCACGTGTGCACACATACATGTATACTCACAATAAAACTTTCAAAATAAAATTGCCACGAGTATACACTAATTATATGAAGAAAAGGTTAAAAAGGAAAACCCCTTTGTAACACGCTTCCTGACAGTATATATTTGATTCACTAGTAAAGTTTTTATGGATTTTCCCCCATATGGTAGGAAGACTTTCATCATTATTTTTAATAGAGTCTTGGGTATGTAGATTTATTTATAGCTTGCTTTGGACTACCTAGTGAGACCAGTCTCAAAATAGTAATAACAAAAATAGTAATTATAAAATAATAAATTCAAGCTTTTATCAGTGAAGAACAAATGTAGAGAGTTGCCAGTCCAAAGGGGGAAAAGATTTTTTTTTTTTGCTTCTCTATATTTTAAGAATGCTAAAACGAAAACAAAATGAAACAAAAGAATGCTAAAACAGTCACTATCAAGGGCTAAAGGAAATCGTTTCACGGTAACAGAAATGTTTCACGAAACAAGTGAACAATTGTCGCTGGGTGACAAAAGAGTTAAAATCCACTCATCGGGATGAGTAACAATCCCCAAGTTTCCTGAAGGTTCTTCAGAAATAAACGAAGCTGCGGTGACAGCTAGCTGGCTTTAGTCGACATGCGCCGTCTCAACGAGTCCACTGGGTCTGGGGCTACGAACTACCAAACCGGCACATTTTCCACGCCAGAACAGCAGTCCCAGCGGGGCACGCAACAGTCCGATATGCTCAAGCTACGAGAGGAGCTCCACCGCCGGATGGCCAGTGGAAAACAAGCCTTCCTTCATCTTCCCTTCCTTAGATTCACAAAAGGATGACAAGTTCCACCTTCCCTATCTCAGGGCACGTGCTCCAGGGCCACCCGTGGATGCTGACAATCTTGAAGGGTACTGAACCCTATTATTAATAACACGAATCTGAGAACTTACCTTTTTCACTTGAAGGACTACTGGGTAACTTCTCTTTGGCCTAACCGAATTGCCAACATCACTACTCTGGTACCTCGTGGCCATTATTAAATAACGAAAGGTTTACTTAACGCAAGCCTGCGATAGACCTATTCGATAACCTCACAGCTAACTAAGCAACTACTGTGCTTTGCAGCATACACAGTGTGGGTACGCTAGACAAAAAGGAGACTCCTGGCCTAGACATGGTAGTGTAGGGTCACACCGGTTTCATTACCACCCAGAAAAGCACACCACCCAGACAAAAAAAAAAAAAAGAACATAAGAGTCTAGAACACTAACTAAAAGAACACAACAGCATAGAGCACTAAAAGGACCAAGATCCAGCAGCAAACTCCTGCCGGTGGCTAGCACAGTTCCGTCTCTGCCATTTTGAGAACTGAGTCCCATTTTCATTTTTCTCATTTTTGTTATTTTCCAACCTTCTGTTTACTCTCACCTAGTCCTACTTTCCCAGCTTTGCCCAGTTGGTTTTTGTTTTGCCTTTTTATGGTCAAAATCTGACCTACATCTCAATATTGTCAACCTCTAGTATATTTTTCTGCTATGGAATCGGTCCTTCCAGGGAAAAGCTTTATCTCTACTTCAAAGCAGTCTGCCACAGCTAGGACTCTCAAGTGGCTGACTCAGCCAGTGGTGGCTGGGATCCTCTGGCCCAACTGAAAAAGAGAGATCCATAAGAGGGCTGTATCCACTTACCTCGAACCTGTTTTTTTATTTCTTTGGCAGAATCCAGCCATGTCTGTAAAAAAGAAGAAAAGGCATTCACACGGAGCTCCAGAACACACAAGCAATTCAGCTCCCTGGCCACCTGGGGAAAAGGCCTGCGGTTGAACCTACACGTCCCCCTGGAAGCCTTTGTGTTAATGTTACAGCGCATAGTGGTCTCTCGGCAGCAAGAAGGGAAGCGGAGGTTGGTTTGAATCCGTGCTCCAGGATGTCCTGGCTGAGCATCTAGAGACTCTCCACACCTGAGATGTAAATCTTGTCCCAGTCTCCATCTTACAGAGCTGCTCACACATGTAAGCCTGCTGTAACAGCAGGTGTGAAACAGCGTGTACCTGTTTATAGTGTCAGGGAAAGATCAGCAAAGATCTAGACAGTGAGTGACATCATCAGCCTCTGGTTCACGGTTCACTGCCCAGTTAACGTTTCTCCCCCTTCTCTGTTCTTCCACAACCCCACTATGCATCGCCACAGCAGGCCTCTTCAACCTGCACATCCCCTGCAAGATGCTGGCGCTTCAGAAAAAGGTTCACTATTAACAATCCTTCAAAGGCCTCAATGAGAGATGTTTAAAGACAAAAACACCTAAATTTCTAGTATTGTTTAAAACAGCCTTTTTTTTTTTCCTTTGCAGATCTAAATGGTCTGAACTCATTATGCAGACCAGGCTAGCTTTGAACTCAGAGTTCTGCCTGTTTTCCAAGGGCTAGGATTAAGGTATGTACCACCACACCCAACTTATTTACATTAGATTTGAAACTATTAAAATATTTAAAACTGTAAGATACATACACATTTCGGGTACAAACTTGGTGATGGAATACATACTTGCATGTGCAAAGTTCCCAGGCTTAGTCACCAGTACACACACACACACACACACACACACACACACACACACACAAAG